TTGGCTCCTCCCCTGGGCAGAGCATCTCCCCATGGATGATGGAATTTTCTGAGCCATGCAGGGACACTCAGTGGCCATGAACAGAAGATAATTAATAATTAATGGCCATGAACAGCAGAGATCTCCTGGAGGGAGGATTGGTTATAGAAGAGATAAAGAAACTGCCCAAAGAACAGAACAGAATTGCCCCAACTCTGACAGATGGGGACAGAACACACACCCACATTTCCAACCTAAAACACCAGCCCTGCTCCCATCCCTGCCTGCATCAGCTCCTGCATCCCTCTCTGGACCCCTGTGTCCCTGTCTCTGCCTCTTTCTTCATCCCTTCCTGCATCCCTGCCCTCATCCTCCTCAGCTTGGAGGCTCCCATCTCACAGCCTCAGCTCTGCCAGGCTGTGGAACATCAGAACCAGAACAAGCCACAGTAAATTAATTTTCAAAGTTACGGATTGTGGAAATACAGAATGCACAGGGGATTTTCTTTCCCCTTTTTTCCCCCTCCTTTTTTGCTTTTTTTTCCCCTCTTTTTTTCTTCTTTTTATTTCTCTATTTCCCCTCCTTTTATACCCTTTTTTTCCTGTCTTTTTCCTCTTTTTTTCCCATCTTTTTCCTCTTCTTTTCCCACTCAGAACCCTGCTAAACCCTCCCCTGTTCCATGTGGATCCCCCAGCTGCACATCGGGATGTGGCCCTCAGCGGGTGCTTTCCTCACTTCAGGGATGTGAAACCCTCACAACCCCAAGACAGCAGAGTTTTACCCCACAACCCCCACCTAAACCCCACCAAACCCCCCAAAACGATTACAGAACCCCCAATTCCATGTGCTGCGGCCACCATTGGAGCAGCTCTGGATGCTGTAAAAAAACCTGGAAAAGAAATGGAATCCCTGAATGCTTTGGGTTGGAGCAGACCTTGAAATCATCCAGTCCCACATCTGTCATGGGCAAGGATAATTCCCACTATCCAAATTGCTCCAAATCCATCCAACCTGGCTTTGAACACTTCCATGGATGGAAGGAAAATTAATAGTAAAAAAAATAAAAATATAAAAAGGTAAAAAAATTCCCAACCTTGTTCCTTCTGTGACAAGGATGGGAAGAGAAATACCAGGCAGCAGCCCTGGGAATTCTGGCTACACTCTCAGCTGGGCTGTGACCCGTTTGCTGTATTTGAAGCTTGAAATAGAGCCTTATGAGTAATGTGGTTCAGGTGCTTATCACCAATTAATTAATTCTTTTGCATGGTGGATACCTAATTAAAGCAGTCTCAGGTAATTCCTTGGGGGGAGGAGCTCAAATTAATGGGGTTGCTTAACGGGGTTGTTTCCCTGCTGCTGTAACTTGTTGGGTGATTCCCAGAGGCTGGAAAGGGTCATCGGGCTCCCTGTGAGTGTTACTTAAAATAAAATTCTAATAAAGGTTTGATTGGGGTGAAATCATTGGAGGATGATTTCTCATCAC